AGCCTTTGGGACCCAGTTAAATGCAGCATCTCCCAGCATACACATTGGCGTGGGAAGGGATAAAAGGTAAAGCTAAAGGTTTCCCTTGCTCGAAAGCCAGTTGAATCCAACTCTACGGGGCCGTGCTCATCTCCATTTCCCAGCCAAAGAGCCAGTGCTGTCCGAAGACATTTCCGTGGTCATGTGGTCAACATGACTAAACGACGAGGCGCACGGAATGCTGTTCCCTTCCCACCGAAGTGGTACCTATTTATCTACTTGCAATGTCTTGCTTTCGAACTGCTAGGTTGGCAGGAACTGGGGCCAGAGCCGGGAGCTCGCTCCGTCCCGCGGCACTAGGGTCTTGAACTGCCGAACTACCGACCTCCCGGTCTGCAGCTCATTCTCCACTTACAAAAGGGGGAAAGGCTTTCCATCAATTCCCTCCTCCTACTGTAGACCCCTGACTCTGCCCACCCCCATGGTGTGTCTATCACCCCAGAGCCACACTTCAGGGGGAATCACTGGGCTGTAGCAGAAAAGTCCTGTTCTGCAGAAGGAAGTGGCTTCCCGTTCGTGGAAAATTTTTAATCCGGATATCACCTGAAAGTTGTACTTGGCCAGATGTACCGCATAGGTTTTATCTGCCTGGGGGCTTGTTTCATCTTTTTTTATTTATTTTGTGCATGGAAGTAAGGGACTAACACACAACCGCTGTAGAAACGTCATTAGGAAAAATCATTCGCTTTCAATATGCACCCTTTGGAATGCGACCACAATGAATTTAAACAAAAAAAAAAAAGCACCTGGAATGTTTACTCTTAGGAGCTGCTGGACCCTAACAGAGAGACTTTCCATTTACTTTCTGTACTGACGCATTTCAAATTAGAATTTTAAACAACGGCTGTACTCAGGATGGGGCCCCTCCCTGAAAGCCTCCGTGTTTCCAGCGTGCCCCATCCACCCCACCCCCCAGCAATGTTCCCTCTAAGCTGTGGAGTCCTGTGAGCAAAAATTCTGCTTTGTGAACGACTGGCATCAAAGTTGTGAGCGAGCTACTTGGCTGCTGCATAAATTAGGTTGCTCTGGAGCCCTCCTTCCTGAGCTAAGACAAAAATCTGTGAGCTGGAGGCTAAAAAACTGTGAGCTGGCTCACACTAACTCAGCTTAGAGGGAACACTGGTGCTGTTACTTGTCACTGATCTCACCTGGAGAGCAGACCATACCAGGCTGACTTAAACCCCCCCCCCCGGCCTTCAAGGGGGGAGCAAGAGAGCTGCTATGCCAAGCAAAGTCTTCTGATGGACTGTTGTCTGGCACACATCCCACCAATTGCCTTTGTAGCCCCACTGCTGTGCCTCTAAAGATCCACGGACTGAAGCCTTAACCCCGCCCCCCTCCTAACACCGGAAGAGGACCTCCCAGGCTCTCTCCTATCACCAGCCAGCCAGGGATGCCGGAGGAAGGAGAAAGAGGGACTCAGGGACCACAAGGTTCCCCATGTTCCCTGACTTACTCCTCGGGTTAGCCCAGCCATTTTGTCTGCAGCCGGGAGGGAAGGCATCCGTGATCCCTCTAAGCTGAGTTACTGCGAGCTAGCTCACAGGTTTTTTTAGCCTCTGGCTCCAGAGCAAACTAATTTATGCAGCAACCAAATCGCTCGCTCACAACTTTCATGCCAGGAGCTCACAAAGCAGAATTTTTCCTCACAAGACCCCACAGCTGAGAGGGAGCGTTGGGAGGCATCCCTCCACCTTCCTGGATCTTCAGTCTGTGCCAAGTGCCTTTATAAGCAACAGGAAGGTCAAAGCAGTTGAAGTTTCCCTTTAAGCTGTTGGTTCTGTTACGGGGTTAAGGTCCCAGGGAAGGGACAAGACACGGCATCAAGGACACCTCTCCTCTGGGAATGAGCTGGGAAGGGACTTACACCCTCAAGACTGAACTTGAAGTCAGGAACTCTGGAGACTGAGCCCTACGAGGAAAGGCTGAGGGCCTTGGGAATGTTTAGTTTGGAGAAGAGGAGGTTGAGGGGGGACACGATTGCTCTCTTTAAATATTTGAGAGGCTGTCATTTCGAGGAGGGCAAGGAGCTGTTCCAGTGGGCAGCAGAGGAGAGGACCCGAAGCAACGAGTCTAAGCTGGGCCAGCTTGCTCACTAGGCGAACTAGGCATTCGCCTAGAGCGCGCCGGCACTTAGGGGTGCCGAATTGCCCCCCCCCCGCCAAAAGCCCTCTCCCTGACCGGATGACCACTGACCGCCACCGGAGGAGGCCGCCCAAGCCCGAGGTGGTGGCACTGGCGGGGCCGTCAGGGGCCTCATGGAGAAAACTGCCTGCCCACCTTCGGGGCTTGGAGGCGGGACCACTCCAGGGCGAGCTTCGCCTCATCTCGCCGGCCAATTGGCTGCACCGGGTGACACTAATTCAATTAGACAGGCCCTAATTGGGACGAGTCGCCCGGGACGCCTCGGCTAACCCCGAAGAGGAGTCGGGTCCTGAGGAGAGCCTTCCGTTCCCGGGCACTTTGGCTGGCCTCACGACTTGAGGCGGGCGGGTGGGGGCACTTTCGAGGGTGACCTGAAACCAACACCACTCTGATGAGTCAGAGGCTCGAGGGCGCCACATCCGGGGAGCAGCAGCATCCAGCCCGGAGTGCAAGAGAAGAGGTGGGGGTGCCTGGGTGTCCCCAGAAGAGCCGCCGGTTGCGCCAGAGAGCAGTGCACTCCTTCTCGTTCAGCACCCGAGGCCCTGCACCCCTGCCCGAGGGAGGGAGAAATCCACCCCCAGCCGAGGCAAGGAGACCCGGGCCAGCCTCACCCTACTCCGCAGGGAGCCCTCCCTCCTCGCCAGCCCCCGGGGGGCTCTCTCCTGAGCATTCCACATTTGGCACAGCAGCTCCACGTCGCCTGGGCGGTGTCTCTGGCCTCTGCAGCTCCCAGCCCGGCAGCCCCCCTCCCCCTCCCGAAGGCGTATCCCCCCCACCCGACAAAATGCTTTTAACAAACTTGCCTGGATAAATGGTTACACTCCTGTGCAATGTTCCCTCTAAGCTGTGGAGTCCTGTGAGCAAGAATACTACTTTCTGAGCTACTGGCATTGCTGGGGGGAGGGCGGCACACGGAGGGGCGGCGCACGGGGGGGGGGCACCAGAAGGGATCCTTGCCTAGGGTGCAAAATAAGCTGGGGCCAGCCCTGGGTCTAAGTTACATGCAGAAAGGTCTCGGCTGAATATTAGGAAAAACGTTTTCACAGTCAGAGTGGTTCAAAGGTGGAATCAGCTGCCTAGGGAGGTGGTGAGCTTTCCAGAAGAGGCTGGACGAATATTTGTCAGAGATGCTTTAGGCTGGTCCTGCATTGGGCAGGGGGTCGGACTAGATGGTCTGTATGGACCCTTCCGACTCTGTGATTCTTTGATTCTATGAAAAAGGAGAGGGAGGGAGAAAGTGCACAGTTCCTGCCTTCTGGATCAACACATAAGCAGTCAAGGTGTATGGGAGAGGGCTGTCTTTAATACCTATTCGCTTTGACTCAAATTATTTCCCACACTTCCGTGCACAGTGAAGGGTCTGAGGAGCAGCCCTGTCAAAGCTCAGTGGGTGCGTACCTAGGAGGAGGAGCCCCCCCCCC